ATAAATTACATTATGACATTTCTCTAACATCCGCACAGTTTAACTACAATTTGAGGGAACATTTCTGAGTGTTTGGTTGACCACTAACCTGTAAAAATACAGAAAAAGCCCAGCAGCAGCAGTGAACACCAGACATCTGTCATCCGCACTTAATCCTGTTTGCCTCTGATGATTCATCTGCAGCAACCAGTAAGAGATCACATGACAGATCAATACCATATTTGGAAACGGGACCATTGCACTCCGGAAATGAAGGGGGCGTAAGAGAATTTTTTTTGTCATAATTCGAGAGAGCACACATTTTCAGTCTGAACGCAGGACTTCGACAGCGAGCGCCTGTGTTGAGTGAGAAGTGCTCACCTCGTTCTTCTGTACGCCAACTGGTGGCTAACTGCTGTAACTACAGCTTAATTAATCCCTCAGTCTGAATAGAAGTGCAGCTTTAAAATAATTTATAGTCAAACAGAAGTCTTTAATTTAAATAAAAAAGGATGGGTGTAATTATTTCTAACATCCATTCTGTCACATATAGGAAAAGAACATAAAACTATTTTGTCCATCAAGATGGAAATTTACCTTTGACTCTTGAATTATAAATTAAAACAGTCATAGAATCACTATAAATTTGTGAGTAGAGTAAAACACTTAGCATGCTATAGGTAAATGTCATTTAGTTTGATTAAGAATGATTATTGCACTGTGAATAAACAACTTCTAATAGATTTTCTTGCCATAGGAACACAATAAGGCCTTTATGAGCTCAGAGATTCAAGCTGATGAAAAACGGGGACGGATGTTCTCTGCTAAAAATATTCCTTACTGTTTACCTGTTCATGTAGCAAACAGTTGAGACATTTCTGGTTTCACCTGCCATCTTACCTGCCACTGAAAATATTCTTAAAAGTTTGTCTGTTATTCTGCAGCTCATGTGACCAAACCAGCCGAGGAGATGAAAAGTTAAAACTCTCAACATTATCTTGTACGCAACCTCTAATTGGGTAATCCCAAGGTCACTGGGTCGTCTTAAAATGGCGCCACCTTTGCTTTACCAATAACAAAGGAAACTGTCAAGATAAAAATACAAAAGTTACCTTTAAAATTAATCACACAAAGTAACATCTAGAACCAACTGTGGAATCAAACTTCATTAAAATCACTGAGGTTGTGTTTTTTATGTTTTGTCTCATGGAAACTTTGTTTTAATTCTACTTGTATTAAATCATAAGGATTAATACAAGAAGGGGAACAACAGGCTTCCTGAAGAAAGAGGAAGTGAGTTAAGTTTCAGTTTCCAGCCTGCTGACTTACGAAAATAGTTGAGACTATTAATATTTCAATGCATGACAGTTTTAAAGAATGAAATCTAAACAGTTTGAGTAACTGAATAAGACCCAAAGTAAAANGCCCCCAGAGTTGGGGGCCCGCATTTTCCCAGTCGTTACAACTGTTTAATCCATAGTTAACGTGTTTTTCAGAGCCGCCTTTAAACTTAACATAAGCGCTAAGATGCTCGCGTCGGTTTTACCTGTGCAGCGGCGACGGAGACACACTTGTGTGTTACAATCATCACAGCAAACCAGCAAAAGAAAAAAAACAATAAAATTGCTGTTTTCTCCCCCAAACTAACCGAGTAAATTGAGTAAGGCTGTTGAATGCAAGTAATGTTAGCCAAATGATGATTTGCTAATGCTAATATATCACTTTAAGCTAGTTAACATGAACAGGCTAATAATGTTTTTGTTATCCATGTTGAAAATTGGGTAGTGCTGGTTACATTTACTTGAGTATTTTTTGGGGAAAAGGGTACTTATAAGGTTGTGTTACTTAGCTGTACTTTTTAAAAACTTTTAACTTGAGTAACATTATTGTTGCTACTCCAACTTGAGTAGTTTGATTTTGCATTTAAAGAAATAGACTTAAGAGATTGGAAACATTAGATTTCTGCAACATGAGTTAATATTTATGCAAATTTGAGCATAATTACTCAACATTTTACACATGTCACTGTTTATATCCTTATTGTTTATTTTGTATTAATAAACATGTTTTTTATTCAAATGTTATATGAAAGTGTGTTTAAAAAATTAAGCCAATATCCCCCCACCAAACTCCTCTGGAGCCAGGGCTGAAATAAACAAAATAATTAGCAAACAGTAACTTATAAAATTAACCTGAAACAAATGATCACGCTTTACAAAATACTTTCCCTTATCACTTATTTCTTTGCAATTAGTTATCACACTGATTAAAACACATAGCTTCACAAACCTCTGCTAATGTTGGGGAAACCAATCAGTTTAATCTGGCCTCATGCCTTCGAGACAATGCACAGGGCAAAACCGGCCAACCAGTACCGTTGGCCGCCTGTCAGACACTGACAAGCGGCAAACGGAAACTGTTTAAGTAAAAACCTCATGGGCGGAAATCCAGGGGGGGACGGGAGGTTTCTGCCCATGAAA